AATTTTCTTAACGCATGCGCACAACTAAAAAGGAAAAAGAAGAAGAAAAAAAGGTAGTTGTTGTGGGATAGGATGAGGAAAGAAAGGAAAAAAGGAAGAATACACCGGAAAAAGGTTTTTCTTTTTTTTTCTTGTTTTTCTCGTATGGATCATCAGCAACAACAACAACAACAACAAACACTGATACGTATAAAAAATAAAAAATAAATAAAAGTGGTTGGAAAATCAAATTTTCCAAATCCTGTTTATTTTTTGTATGCGGATTATTGTAAACAATTTATAAAACGGAAACGAAATTTTTTTTTTTTTTACCTTTTTCCCCAGAGGAATATTTATTAATAAATAAATGAAAAAGAATCGAATCGAACGCTAAGTTAAAATAATAATAATTTCTTAATACGCTCCTGTAAAATTTTAAAAAATTTTCCGAAGGGTTCATCCTGTCCAAATACTTTTATCCTCGTACCTGAATCCAAAAAAAAAAACAAACGATAGCAAAAAAAAATTAATAATTGAAAAAACAATTCAATAATTTTAATAAAATGACAAACGAAATGCAGACGACGATGACGTCAACAACAACAACAACAACCGTTATTAAATTGTTTGTTTATTTACTATTATTATTATTATTGACATTTGAAACTTTATCCGAAAAAAAAAAAAAAACTGGAATAATGAATGAGATTCGTAATATTAATGATGATGATGATGGCGACGATGATGATGATGATGATAATGATGATGATGATGATGATGATAATGATGATAATAATAATAATAATAATTATTACCGGATGCGAAAAAAAAAAACATTTTTTTCAACCAAGGATGCATAATTGTTTTAAATTATTCGCAAAAAAAAAAATTATTCAATGACGTCACAATTAAAAACATTTACGGCGTTATTTTATTTTCACACATTTTATAGCGAAAAAACAATAATAATAATAATAATAATAATAATAATAATAATTTTTTAAATTAATAAATTATAATTCCAACGACGAACGCGTCAACCTTGATTTTTTTTTGTTTTAAATTTTATTTACGGGGTAATAATAATAATAATAATAATAATTATTATTATTATTGTTATTATTTTATATTTCGACGTGTGTGTAACGGTAATTATTATCGTTCAAAAAGATTTAATTAGTAATATAAATATTATTGTCGAAAGTAATTAAATTTTTTTTTTTTTTGTTTAATTACAAACACATTTGTGGCCGAATAAAAATAAAATAAAAATCGATCGAAAATAATTAATTTATTATTATTATTATTATTTCGTCTTCTGGTTTTATTATACGAAACGTGTATAATAAATAATAAAAAGAATGAAGTCTTTTTTTTTTTACGATTTAATTTTTGTATAAAGAAGAAGAAGAAGAAGAGAATTAGTTTTAAAAAAAATTTTTAGATTTGAAACGGATTTTGAATTGGATATTCGAAATATATATATATAAATGAAAAAAAAAAAAAGTAAAATGAGAAAAAGAAAGAGACAGTCAGAGATGAAAGAGAGAGAGAGAGAGAGAAAAGAGAGAGAAATGGCGAAGAACCGTTTTTACATAACATTTGCGTCTAGAAAATCTGTCGTGCAGAAATTTTATTTTATTTTATTTTTTTTTTTAAATTTTCTCGGGAATGACAATTTTCCCTTCTAATTTTCTAGTTTTGCGTAATGAAAAAAAAAAACGATTTCCTTCTTCCTTTTTTTTCCTTTTTCTTCTTCTTCCACGTCGATAAAAAAAAAAATTGAGTGAAATCCAAGAAGGAGGGGGGAGGAAAAAAAAATTAAATAAATGAAAGAAAGAAGAACCCATGTGTCTAAATATGTGTGAACGTTTGCGATAGGAAAAAAAAATTTTTTTTTTTTTATTTCGTAATTTGATGAAGGATTTTATTATTATTATTATTATTACGTATGCGAAAATGTTTTTTTTCCCGCCATATTTTTTTTCCTTCTTTTTTTCTATTCGCAAAAAAAAAAAAAAATTTCAATAATTCAAATAAATTTCTCTTATTCTTATTTTTTTAAAAAATAGTTTTCGTAATAATAATAATAATAAAACGTGAAAAATTTTTTTTTGAAAAATAACAATAAAAATAAGAAAATTTGTAAATGTCACCGCGGGGAAATCTGTCGCGATTATGATGGGAAACGGAAATAGTCATTTTGAAACGGTTTTATAATCACGTTTCAAACGAACGAAAATACCGCGAAAAAATGTTTTTTTTCCCATTTTCATTTTCATTTTCTTTTTTTTTTCCTAACGGGAAAGTATATCCGGGATTACAAATCGGGAATTATCATCTTTGAAAAATTTTTCAAAATTTAAAATGATAACGATATTATCTTGATAACATTTTAAACCCCCCAACCTCCTCCTCCCCTTCCCCTCACATTGAAATTAAAACGACGCAAATTTAAAAATTTATTATCGTTAAAAAGAAAAATAAAAATGGCGTTTTGTTTTGTTAAAAAAAAAAAATTTTTACGAATAGCTTTCGAACAAGAAATGATATTATTAAAAAATCACCCTCTCCCTCCATTCCCCCCCAAAAAAAAACCTGGAAAAATAATGTCGAAAACGACAGAAAAAAAATCAAACTAATGATAACAATAATTTAAAAGAATTCTTGTGATGCTGTTTAGGTTTAAAATAGAAAAACAGGTTCAGAGGCGTAGCATTAGACTGATATTCAGGCATTATCCCTAAGGAATCAATATAAAAACCCGGAATAAATGTCTAAAACCTTTTAGGACGAATAAAAGAAAAAAGGTTTGATGTGATGTCAAGGGTTACAACAATACGAAACCTAGGCATGCAACATCATAACCAATAT